CGAGCGGACTACCGCTTCCCGATCTCCTAGTCCTGCAGGCTGAAACACGTGCCAGAGTGTGGGCAAATCGCTTTTTTTTTTTTTAACATTCGCCTTTTACTAGCATTGAAGACCTCTGTACTGCTGCTTTTCCCAGGTGATTTTTCATGTACATTGCTTAGTGCAAAGCGTTGCTTTCCTCTTTGGTCACATAGATCCCGTTGTTGAACAGTTTGCAGCTAAAGCCTGACTCGTGACTAGCTGGTTTTTAAGAACGCATGTATGAAATTTCTCTGTCCAGCTGCCTAACATCTGTTTTCCAGCTTTGAGAAAGCTTGATGTTTTTCTCGAGCCAGGCTTCAACAGAAGAAAACTTCGAGCACGCTGCAAGCAGGGGGCAGCGTTTCTGTTTCGCAAAGCCCCATGTGCCGCTCCTGGCCCTCTGCCATGGAGAGCAACGCCTGCTTTTTTTTGAATTAATAGCATTATTTCTGGTCTGCAGGGAGGGACCTGAAGATAATCTGTACCAATTCAGCTGTAGCTAGATAAATGCGCTGGGGCTTTTCTAGCACCATAGTTCTCTGTAATGTCAAAATAGGGTAGGACAGAGAGAGAGGTGGGAGGAAGCATGCGTGCTGCCTGAACCCTGTCCCATCAGGGTGTTCCGATGCAGCAGTCTTTTTGCTGGTGAAATTGTTCACTTTTCCCCCATTTGTTTGCATTGCTTTCACGGCGATGCGCAGGCCCAGGAACCCAGTCTCTGCACAGCAGAGCAGCCGTGATTTGCACGCAGGGAGCAGTAGTGACCTGTCGTCGGCCATCACTTCTCTTCAACGGCTTCAAGTGGGCTGCTGTAAATCCTGCTGTAGCTATTAGATAAGCTAGGGTTAGGCAGCAGGTGATAACTATAGAGAGAGAAAGACATAGATACAGACACCTACACCGATCCTTGTGACTTCTCTCACTACGTAAAGCCAAAATAACACATAGGTGCAGCTAAGGAGCTACCTCCACCTGCAGGGGCTGGGGTCGGAGGGCGGCTTAACTTGCCGCTGTTCCCTCTGCTTTCTTTGCTGTCCCCTTCAGCTTGCAGCACCCAGCAGCCTGGAACGGTGGCTGCCGGTCTTTAATAGCGTTATCATCTAGCAGTTGCTTTGTAGAAACTGCCTTATGCTGGATCTTCCCCTGCGTGGGCTCTCTGTAGGGGTTTCCCTGTCAAAGAGTGCAAACAACTGTAAAATCCCAGGAGGCGGCTCAACGCCCCAGCGACAGGGAATCGGAGAGGAGGGCTCCCACCGCCGCAGGGCCTGCAAAGACATCCTGGCCCATTTCTCTCACCTGCTGAATTAGAAGGGATGCATTTGTTGGACCAGAAAAAGAAAAAAAAAAAAGAAAAAAGTAACGCTCTGCTATCTGACAAGGTGTTTTATCTTCTTGGCTGACCTGTGTGCCAAAAGGTGGCTTCTTGCGTATATGCATATAAAACCAACCCATCTGAGGGTTTGGGGGTTGCGTTTTTTGTTTGTTTAAATAGGGAAGAAAGAGCAATACCTCCTTTGCTTCTTCACATACTCTGAAGAGCTTGTTGGAAAACGTAGTCCCAGCTGTTTGTTTTCACAGCAGTGTAAGCTGTCACAGGGCTTTCAAGACAAGGAAAAAAACCCCGCCCGCAAAACAAAAAAGCTTGTCACTACATTATCTTTTCCCAAAGTGATAATGCAACACAGGCGCAGCTGTGTGGCAGCCCCAACCAGAAAAGGCAGGGTTGGTACCCTCCTCCTCCATCCAGGGCCTATTTGCAGCACAACTGATGCGTCAGCCTGCTAATTACCGGGAGGCACGGAAGGCGCTGCAGGATGCTGCGGGTGACGTTTGCCCCCCTCCTGCGAGCCACGGGGCACCCAGTCACACCAGGGAGAAGGAGGCGGAGGACGGGCGCAAGACCAAACATCCGTGAGTAAGATTGTGCGACGTCAGTGGCTTCAGCCCCACAGCGCTGCCATGACGGGCTCCCTCGCCGCCACCTTGGCAGCGGCGTCTCAAGTGCCCTGGGCCTGACGGCGAGTGCCAGGGCTGCGGACTTGCTGGAAGGCTGAAGAAACAGCAAAACTTCATGAACCCTCAGACTGCAATGAACTTAATTCACCCATTAATATGGAGCCTTCCCTCAACAGCATGTAAGGCAGCGCCTTGGAG